AAAAAAAATAAATAAAGAAGAACAAAAAATTGTAAAAGAAATGGCAAAATTAAGAGAATTAATCCTTAGTGTTCGTAGTGCTAAAACAGCTGCAGAAGAAAGAGAAATTATTACTAAAGAGTGTGCAGTTATTCGATCATCAATGTCATCAAATAATTTAACAATAAGACATAGAAATGTTGCTAAGTTAATTTACATTCAGTTATTAGGATATCCAACACAATATGGACAAATGGAATGTTTAGCATTAATTTCTTCACACCATTATTCAGATAAAAGAATTGGATATTTAGCATTAATGTTATTATTAGATGAAACTCAAGAAGTATTAACATTGGTTACAAACCATTTGCATAATGATTTATTATCACAAAACCAATTTATTGTTGGACTTTCATTAACTACAATATCAAATATTGGTAGTGAAGGTATTGCTCAAGATGTTGCATCAGAAGTAGAAAAATTAATGTCATCACCAATTAATTATATTAAAAAGAAAGCAGCAGCAGCTGCACTTCGTATTATTCGAAAATGTCCTAGTTATTCAGATATTTATGTTCAAAAAACTAAAGCCCTTATAGTAGAAAGACAACTTTCATTACAATTATCAGGGGTAACACTTGCAATTGAATTATGTAAATATTTACCTAATGCAATTGGAGAATTTAGAAAATTAATTCCTAATTTATTAAATAACTTAAAATTACTTGTTCATTCATCATTTATTCCTGATTATGATGTTAGTGGAATTACACATCCATTCCTTCAAACAAAATTAATTCAATTATTAGGTATTCTTGGACATGATGATAAAGCTAATTCATCATTAATGTATTCAGTTCTTAACTTTGTTATTGCAAATACTTCTAATAGTAGAAATGTAGGAAATGCTATTTTATTTGAAACAGTTAAAACAATTTTAAGTATTGAAGCAGATGAAACATTACTTCATAATGCAGTTGATGTTCTTATTAAATTACTTAATGGAAAAGATTCTAATTTTAAATATGTTGCATTAGAACATCTTCAATATCTTCTTGAATTTGCAGGTACTTCTATTCAAAAACATAAAAGTATTATTGTTGAATGTTTAAAAGATAGAGATCATGCTATTCGTAAAAGAGCATTAGACTTAGTATATTCATTAGTTAATGAATCAAATGTTGTTGGATTAGTAAAAGAACTTCTTTCATTCCTTCAATTGTCAGATATTCAATTCAAACAAGATGTTGTAATTAAAATATGTTGGTTAACTGATAAATTTGGACCAGATATAAAATGGAAATTTGATTCAATGTTAGAAACAATTACTCTTGCTGGTGATATTGTTCCAGAAGAAGTTACATGGAATTTTATATTATTAATTCAACAAAATATTGAATTACAAGGATATGCTGTTCATAAATTATTTGAAGCATTAAAAAAAGATGTTAGTAAATTAGCTTTAAATAAAGTTGCTATTTGGGCTATTGGAGAATATGGAGATTTATTAGCTATTCAAGAAGGACAATTTGCTGGTGTACAACCAAGCACAATGCTTGATTTAATTATTTCAATTGATGGAACTGGTTTTTCTGATTCTACAATTAAAGGAGAAATTCTTATTGCTTTAACTAAATTATCTGCTCGTATTCCTTCTCAATTTAATCAACGAATTCAAGAATTTATTAATATTTATAAAACAAATATTGACGTTGAATTACAACAACGTGCAATTGAATTTAGTCAATTCTTTTCATATGATGATTTAAGATTAGACGCTGTTAACAGAATGCCAATCCCTGAAAATCTTCATCAAGAAACACATTCAAATCAAATGTCTCAAACTACTATACCAACTCAATCTCTTCCAACTGTCTCAACTGAATCTTTGAAAGAAACAACTCTTGTTTCTCAACCTCAACCTAATCAATCATTCAAAAAAGAAGAACCTAAAAAAGATGATTTATTGGATATTCTTGGTATTTCTTCTACCCCTATTAAATCAACTCCTTCTTCATCATCACAACAATCTACTAACTTATTAGATTTACTCACTGGACCATTACCTATTAATCCTACTCCTAATCCTACTATGAATACTATTATTAATCCTACTACCACTCCTGCAACTCAGCCATCAACTAATTTAAATAATTTACTTCAACCAACTTCATCTACTCTCCAAACTCCACAAAATGATATTCCATTACAACAACCAGTGAATAATACAAATAATCTTATTATTCAAGCATTAAATAATAATGGAGTAATTGTTCAATTCAATATCAAACCTGAAGAACCTAAATATCTTGTTCATGCCACCTTTACTAATACTTCTAATTCTCAATTAACAAACTTTTCTATGAAAGTTGCAGTACCTAAATGGATTGAGCTACAACTTATGAGTCCTACTAGTAATGCTCTTCAACCATTATCCACTGATCAAGTTACTCAAGATTTAATTCTCACAAGAATGGTTACTGATAAGCCAGTAGTTGTGAAAATTAAAGTTCTTTTCATGAGAGATGGTGTTCAAGCAGAAGAAAATGCTAATGTCTACATTTGCAATTAATTGAACAGAACTTGACTTTTTTATGTTTCATCTATTCTCTGTTTTTTATTACAGTCTTATTATTTGTCTAACTCTTTTTGAATAAACTTAGCTTTGAATAAAGTCATCTGATTAAATAACTGATTTGAATTAATACTATCTTCTTTTTACAACATCAATTATATCTGTTGTTCATCTTTGAGTTGTGTCTTTAAGTTATTACACACTTTTTAAAACCGGTTTTCTTCAAATTTTTGTACTTCTTTTCATTAATTCTTTGAGATTGTGTATTTGTTTGTAAAGAAAATGTCAATGTAGATCTTCACATTGATATAATTTGCATGGAATATAAAACAGGAAAGGATCAAAGAAGGAAGGTGAGATTTGAAAGTAATTATCATTATTATTGGAGGGAATTAGAAGTGGTATGGAAATACTGTCTAATAAATATTAATAGAAAAAAAATATAAGTAGTGAATAAAATGTACAGATAAAGAATTAATTATATTAAATGATGTAAAATGTTAGTTTTAAATTTTGTCAATATTTGGTTGGAGATTATTTTTATTTGATTTTTCTGTTTAAAATGTGTTGTGTGTAATGAAGGAATTGTTAGTCAAATAGATTTTCATTTGATACATTTCATGGTTAGAAAGAAAAATATATTTTTTT